GAAAGAGAACAGAAGGGAAATAGTATTTCTGACTACAAACTGTTTGCATGATCAAAATATCATTATCCCTGTTTACCTGTATTTGTAGCACATCTCTAAGATGAGGATATCCCCAGCATAATTGTCCATAGCGAAGAGAAACTCTGCTGACTTCGTAATTTATAGTAGAAATTGCAGCAGAAGTTACTTAGCCTTGAAAGATCCTCTGAGGAAAGTTGGGGTTTTTAAATGCTGACAGAAATTGACAGGTAAAAAATACTGTCAGTCTAGAAACACAGACGTAGAGCAGAAAACAGGCAGTTGATGTCACACTGAGAACAAGATCTGTTTCCACACAACTTATAAACAGGCTATAAACATGAGAAGCTTTAACGTGTGGAGGAGGGTTTATGGTGAAATAAGATGCCCTAGGTATAAACCAGTATCTGTAAGTCAAGGTTGCTAAGTTAGACATAGTCATTATTTACAGATGGGAACCAAGGAAGTTGAAGGGAAAAAAATGACATAAAAAAGCAGTATTTAGTCACTTAAGTCTTAAGATTGGTCATACTAACTGCACAAAGACAAGCAACAAAGCTGTCTTAATATCCTGACACTGGTCCTAAGGATGTAACAGATTTTAAAAGCTAGGATTCAAGCTCATTCCTGGAAGGAGGTACTTTCCAATGTCTTCTATTTGCCCTAAAGCCTTACAAGGCAAGAATGCTCAAAATGCCTAGATGCAGACTGGGTACAGCATCTCCATTTAAAAAAAAAAATCCTGGCTAGAAATGTCCAATGTTAGCAGTTTGGCTTGTCACTGGATCTTCAGTTCTTGCTTCCTTTTTTTGTTGGCTACTGGCATTTCACCCAAACACAGGGATTCTTTTGGTGGTTCTCTTGAAACTTGAACATCAGAGTGAGCTAAGACATTCTGCATCTCCATTTAGATCTTAAAATATGTTCATATATATTCCTTCAAAGTTCTAAATTTCTACATTTTCTTGTCTGTTGTGATAGAAAAGTGAATTGCAGGAAGTAAAAGCAATCTGATCTGGTAGAAGTGCTGCCTCTTAAAAAGGAAGAGGCTAAAATCATGGGGAAAAAAAAGGATAAGCCTTTGTAGAATGTGTTATAGCAGAATATCTACGGCATTTTGTGTTGTAGGACTAATGTTAGAGATCAGTTGTCTGATTTGAGGTATTTATCATTTGTATGTCTTACCATTTTACACAAAAAATAAAAAATTAATCATTATGTTAAACTAGCAATCTAGTCAGTTATAAAGCCAGTGTGATATCTGCATGACTGGGCCCAAATGCTGCAGTAATAAGAAGCAACAGACTTTCTAAGACTCAGTATATTAAAGCTAAGAAAAGCTTTAATCTTAAGTTCATTCTTCTACCTCTTTGCTTTGGAACTGGTGATAAAAATGAACAGAAGAGACAGCAGATAAAAAATAATAATAGATTCACTTTTATAACTGAAAATAAGACCACTTTTCCACTGTTGTAAGTTGGTGTCATTCCATTTATTTAAGGGGCTTAATAATACCAGCTAAAGAATCTGTACCTAAAATTGCAGCTTGGAAATAGAATCATAGAATAGAATCACAGAATAGTTTGGATTGGAAGGGACCTTTAACGGTCATCTAGCCCAACCTCCCTGCAATGAGCAGGGACATCTTCAACTAGATCAGGTTGCTCAGAGCTTTGTCCAACCTGACCTGGAATGTTTCCAGGGATGGGGCTTCTACCACCTCTCTAGGCAACCTGTGCCAGTGTTTCACCACCCTCATGGTTAAAAATTTCTTCCTTGGATCTAGTCTAAATCTATCCTCTTTTAGTTTAAAAACGTTACCCCTTGTCCTATTGCTACAGGCCCTGCTAAAAAGTCTGTCCCCATTTTTCCTCTAGGGCCTCCTTTAAGTACTGGAAGGCTGCAATAAGGTCTCCCCAGAGCCTTCTCTTCTCCAGGCTGAACAACCCCAACTCCCTCAGCCTGTCCTCGTAGGAGAGGTGTTCCATCCCTCTGGTAATTTTTGCGTCCCTCCTCTGGACCTTCTCCAACAGGTTCATGTCTTTGCTGTGCTGAGGGCTCCAGAGCTGGACACAGTACTGCAGGTGGGGTCTCAGCAGAGTGGAGTAGAGAGGAAGAATAACCTCTCTTGACCTGCTGGCCATGCTTCTTTTGATGCAGCCCAGGATACGGTTGGCCTTCTGGGCTGCAAGTGCACATTGCTGGCTCTTGTCCAGCTTTTCATCCACCAGCACCCCCAAATCCTTCTTGGCAGGGCTGCTCTCAATCCCTTCATCCCCCAGCCTGTACTGATACCAGGGATTGCCCCGGCCCAGGTGCAGGACTCTGCTTTTGGCCTTGTTGAACCTCATGAGGTTCACATGGGCCCATTCCTCGATCTTGTCCAGGTCCCTCTGGATGGCATCCCGTCCCTCAGGCAGGGTGTCAACCGCACCACTCAGCTTGGTGTCATCAGCAAACTTGCTGAGGGTGCACTCAATCCCATTATCTATGGAACTGATAAAGTCATTAAAGAGTACTGGTCCCAACACAGACCCCTGAGGGACACCACTCGTCACTGATCTCCATCTGGACATTGAGCCGTTGCCCACTACCCTCTGGGTGCGACCATCCAATCAATTCCTCATCCACTGAACAGCCCACCCATCAAATCCGTATCTCTCCAACTTAGAGAGAAGGGTGTTGTGAGGGACATTGTCAGAGGCCTTAGAAGTCCAGATGCACGACATCCGTAGCTCTTCCTTTGTCTGCTGATGTAGTCAGTCCATCATAGAAGGCCACTATGTTGGTCAGGCAGGACTTGCCCTTGGTGAAGCCATGCTGGCTGTCTCAGATCACCGGGAGGTGATTGTGCTCCATGTGCCTTAGCTATAGCTTCTAGGAGGAGCTGTTCTAGGATCTTCCCAGGCACAGTGGTGAGGCTGACAGGTGAGTAGTTCCCAGGGTTCTCCTTTTGACCCTTTTTAAACAGGGTGCAATGTTTCCCGTTTTCCAGTTACCAGGGACTGCCATGACTTTTCAAATAAGATGGAGAGTGGCTTGCTGACTCATCATCCAATTCCCTCAGGACTCTGGGATGCACCTTGTCAGGTCCCATAGACTTGTGCATGTTTCGGTTCCTCAGGTGGTCTCGAACCTGATCTTCTCTTACAGTGGGAAGGACTTTGTTCCTCCAGTCCCTGTCTTGTGGTCTATCCACTTGAGAGGTGTGGAAAGAGAGGTTGCCAGTGAAGACTGAGGCAAAGAATTCATTGAGTACCTCAGTCTTCTTCTTGTCGATTCTTACCAATTAGCCAGTCATGTTCATCAGGGGCATATGCTTTCCTAGCTGGCCTTGTAATACGTTACGTGGGGGGAAAAAAAAAAGATTGAATTTTTATTTTTCCCTTCAGAATGCATTCTAAACCAAGTGTTGGCTTTGACTGGTGTTTTCTAGTGCTTTTGCCTGTACTCCCTCCAGAGGCCTGTAGCTTTTGCAGCACAAACCTTACATCAAGAATTTTTGTAGCTGAAATAAAGTCTTCAGTACACAGAATGAAGGGTATTTCTTCAGAGAGGTTCAGTCATTGCTAATAAATAGTTTTCTGTTCAGAATATCATCCCCTAGTTAGAGAATGGGAAGTCTGCCTCCCTTCCTGCCACAGTAGAAATCACTGTTGGTCATTGTTGGGTTTGAAACAGAGGCTTAAGAGGAAAAACATTACTTTCTTAATATTTCCTGTTGTAGTATGTCTGATTCATAGGTTTTTCAGGACAAATAGTATGTTCTATGCTACTTCAGTTAGAATATGATCTTACATAAATATGTAAGGTATTTGTTAGGTATTTGTTACTGAAATTATGACAACATGCCATTAACCATTGCCAGCACTGCATACGAGGAGGTATGCAAACTGAGGGGTGTGGTAGTTTTGATGTAAGGTTTTGAGTAAGGTTTAAATACAGTATATATTTTAGTATTAATTTCATCTCTCTTCTTTTTAAGATTCCAGATTCCATCATCTCTCGAGGTGTTCAGGTGCTCCCACGTGATACAGCCTCTCTCAGTACTACTCCTTCAGAATCTCCTCGTGCCCAGGCCACCTCTCGTCTCTCCACTGCATCCTGCCCAACACCAAAAGTAAGTACACTTATGCCTTGCAAGCTCCGTCCTCAGATGTATGATCTGTCAGATTAATGTATTGCCTCTGCTGAACAAGGTTGGTTTGCATGCAAGGGTTGTATCATTCAATAGATAAATGAAAGACAGTATAGTTCATTCCATGTGTACTATTTCACAGTTTAATACGTGAGTCCACCAACACATTATGGTTACTGAAGTTTCATGTTATCTCTTGTAATATGAATATGAAATTGTTAACACCTTGAATGTCTTTAATATCCCCAGGAACATAGATAATCCTGCCACTGAGTAACAACAGTAAGGAAGTAGTATTTTGTCGACAAAATGTATGTGCAAATTTCTAGCCTGGGCTGGGGCAGTTCTGTGCCCCACTTTATTATTGTTCTGTTTAAGATACTTTCAAACCAACTGGTTTTTCTCAAACTGAGATATTTGCTGCCTGACATTTGGGAACAAAAAACAGCCTAAATTGAATAGAAAGAAAGTTTTAATGCCAACCTTGTGGGATTATTATTCCGTTCTACTGATTACGCTATACTATTCAATCATTGAGGTGAGCTCTATTATGTTCTCTTTTTATCAAACTTTGAATAGCATACATCAAAAACTAAGTGAATTGACCAGTGGCAAGGCCTGTAATGTTTACCTTCGGCAGGATTCCCTTCAGCAGAAGAAAACTACGTCTGAATTTGGTTTCTGCGTTCACATCACAAAGATCTTTCTGCAGCACCAGATGCTGACATACTAATAGACCCATAGCAGATGGCAAACAATAACATTCTTCGTCATCTAATTTGTGATCCTTGAAGATTATTCTGCTTGCTAAAGTGCTTGCCAGCATCTGCTAGTTCTTCTTTCCTGCTGTCTCATTCTTTTCTGTCAGCAAACAAGATTTATTGGCAACCACCCATAGAAATGTTTTGGTTTAGCCTATGGGATTGTTTTATGCAGTACTTACCTTTACCGTAATAGAATCAAAATTAGTCTAATGGACAGCATAGTGGAACTTCATTATATAGTCTACTTTTCTTACAAAGATGTTCAGTAATTCTATCTGCAAGCGGCTCCTTCCTTTTTTTGCTAAAAAATTGTCACTTGTCTAATGGCTTAAAAATAAAAACTCAGAGCTCATTACATTAGAACACTCAGAGCAGAAGAGCAATATGAAACAGAGAAATCGCACTGAGTTTTATGCCTGTTGACCAAACAAAAATGTCCGAAGAAAACCAAAGGAGACTAGGCATAAAAACAGAGACAGTACTGCTAAGAAATAGTTCTAGATGAAGCATATATATTTTGAGGAAGTTTCTCACAATGAGATAAAGGAATACAGCTTATCTGTTGTGAAGCAGAATGCACTCCTCTAGACTACCTTCAAAGATTACCAAAGGAAACTACAAGAACTTTGAAACAGATTAAAAATCTGAAACTCTTCTTTGGGAGATTAGTTAAGATGAGCTCTTATCATAATTGGATCATGCTTTGGTATTTCATGTGAAGCCCTGTTTTTCATGTATTACTGCAAAATCAGATTTTGTTCAAAATGTGTGAGACCACACCACTTGTATAACAGCAGTTGCCATGCAACGTCTATCTAGTCTAGCTTTTCTGTGATGTCTTTTGAAAGTGGGTGGTACATGATCTAGGACAGCCCAACTGGAAAATAAACTTGAAGAATGATCCCATCTGTTCCTATTACCTAGACATTGGATTTTGCACAAAAATATAAGCTTCTTTGCCACTTAGAGAGCTCTTGGTTCATTTTACTTATTACTTAAAAAAAAAAAACCAAAAAAAACCCTACTCATTGTCTTTTTGTTCAACCCTTTTCAGTACCCACAAGTTCTCAAACGTCATCTGAATTTGTCAAGAAATATGGTTCATTCATATTCTTCAAGATTGTTAATATGTCTAACTGTCTTCACTTTCTGTGTTTTTCCTTCTGGATCCTGGCTTTCTAGTAATGCAATATGAATTAAACTTAGACTGGACTTCTTGATCCACACAGTAGTGAGAATAAAGATAAATTGTACTTCAGCATCCAGTTGATACTCCAGGGTGGTTTATTTTTTTTCTTCTTTAACCTGCAAGTGTGTATCTTTTCAATATTCTCATTTGCGGGTTTAGGAGTTCATTTCAGGGCTCCAAAACATGTATGAAATGAAACAAAGGAAAGGAAGTTGCAGAAAAAAAAACCCAATTTCGTTTTCTTTGATTATACATATTGTTTAGAGTGGTGGTCTAGCCATAGAGCTAGTGGCACTAGATATCTTTGTAAGCTACATATTCCAGTTTATTTTGTTGTACCATTTTCTTGTTGTATTTTTTTTGTCCTAAATGTACGTAAACCCTTACATCTCTCTTACTGAATTTGCTGAAGAGCAGAAAGTTGTGTGTGTGTCTCAGAAAAAAATCAAGCTTCTGCAATGACGGGAGCACCTCTCTTGAATGAATGTAAGTAGCAGGTTACTAAATGCATGGGGGTATTGGAGAGAAGGTATGGGAGAATGCATTACTACTACTCCTAATTGACCTGTTAGAAGTTGTCTTTGCCTTTTCATAATCATATTTTGGAAAACCTAATGTTTATATACACACACAGATCATGTAGACAAAATACAACATTTAGTTTTAAATTTGCTTTACTGTTTACACTTTATCTTCCATGTTTTCTGAAAATCTCTGCTTCTAACAAAGTAGTAAATGCTGAATTTTGAGTTTGAACCTGTATATTTCAATCAGTCCTCAAAAGTTTAATTTCCTGATAAAAGGAGTAATTATATTTTTCACTGTAGCCTCTTGGGAGGTCAGAACTCCTCAAGACAAATTTCCATTGGGACTACTCTGTCTGTCATTAAGTACACCCCCAAAACTAAGCAAACTTGGTTTTGTTAGCTTTTAATAAATCTCTGTAGAACTCCTTCCTTGTTCTCTAAATTGCATTTGAGTTTCAAGCAAAATCTACTGCAGCTCAAAGAGTGTTTAAACCATATTTATAGCAGATGGATTCAGATATAGAAGCAATCTAAGTTTTACTCAGGGGAAAACTGCACTAACAGTCCTCCCTTTTTCAGTCATTCAGCCATAAAGTTGATAGTGATTGTGACAGATGCTTTTATCTCCTACAATATAGTTTTGGTCTTTTTAAAGTTTTACTGCTTTCTCAACAAGGTTAGATGAATATGCTGAATACTCACATGACAAAAGTTTAGAATGATACAGTGTGGCTTACAAGTTTTTCTTTTCATTTCCAGTAGCTGTTCAGATTCTAACATCTTAATATATTTTTGTGTATGTTTGTGGTTGGCATTTTCATGAAGTTAAATGCAGTGTTCTTTTCAGATACAAAAGCAATAGACTACCTAGTGTAAAATACCTTTTACAAATATGGAGAAATTTTTTAATGTTTGCATTAATGTTGACTCTCAGGGCTTTTTTAAAACTTACAGTATAAAACTTTAGATTTATAACTTCAGAGAACTTAAAAAAATGTATCCAGAGCAAATGACTGTGTCATTCCTTCAAACTTCTAATTTGGTCCTACTCTTAGGGAGATGATATTAGTATAAAAGAAAATTACAGCTTTCAAGTTGAAGTCTTCACTTCTCCCATACATAAATGACGTAATCAATATTTAATTTTTGGCAATGTTTGTGTCAAAGTCAAATGAAGCAGATATAGAAGACCAAAGACAGGTTTTAAGTTATCACAAGGAATACATTTCAGTGACAAGAGGCATTCAAAGTATTTCACTCTGCAAGATCATCAGTCTCACTGATGTTCAGTTCTTCCACTTCAATGTGCAGAGTTTCTTTCAGTGTTATCTTTGATCATGAAGGATTCTAAGGAACTTGTTATAGTACTTTTAAGGTGAGAGCTTTTTTTTTCTTTTTCCATCTTGCCACTTCATTCCTAGCACTCCTTATATTCTGCGTAGGAAAAAGTCTCTCTCTGCTTCACTTCCTGGTTATCTGTCCCTTCCCTAGCTATCCATTTTTTAGTTACACTGAATCAGATAAAACCCTCAGTGGTGTTAAGTTACATCCTTGCATATTTGTAATTGTGATAGATAGCTTTTAAGTCCTACGTAAGAAAAGTATATAGGCTCTATATTACAGCTAAAATGAGCAAGCAAAGCTACTTCTCAGTTTTTTAGATTCTAGCAAACCTGACATCTCATCTATCCACCGCTCCATCCAAACGTTCTTTGTAGCGTAGTACATTTAATTCTATTTGATCACTTTCTGTAACTTCTGTAGCTGTCTCCTTCTCCTAAAGGACTGTTACCTTTATCACTTATAAGCTGACATTCACCTAAAGACCTAATATTCCTAACTGTTTACCTAGAAAAATACATCAAACTTAAAAAAAAAAGGCTGATGAGAATTATTTCTGCAGCAAAAAATATTTTATCTCATCTCTTTTGTTTGCTACCAACGAAAAATGATGCTTTGAACACCTTCTATCATGAACCGTAGCTTTAATTTTGAATGTGCGCATTGGTGCAAGTTTTCCACACAGTCAAATGAGTTACAAATTAATGCTCAACCTAATATGATTTATATTTTCAGCCTAATGTAGTGACTTTTAATATACAGCTACTATGTGAAGTAATAACATTAGCAGGTGGTAGCAGGTAGAGTTGTATCAATTATTGTTACAAATTTTTCAGTAGAAATATTCAGTATTTTTCAGTAGAAGAAAGATCAAGTTGCATAACAAATTCTTAGTTAATAATAAGATGCTGTTCAGGATATGATTTGGCAAGCTGTAGTTTTATCCATAGGGTAGATACTTTGTGTACATTGAGTGCATTAAATTTTGTATTTGTATCTTGATTCCTACTATTTTTTCTTAAGGTGGTCATCAAGGCGAAAACAATATGGCAAGAATATGAATGTATTTTAAAGTTTTTACGCATACACTAAATTGCCAACTAAAGTTTTCTTCTTTTTTAAGTTTGCATATGCTATTGTTTTTCCTACCTAGGAATTTGC